AAGAGGGAATAAAAATTGAAAGAAAGTACAAAGTTAAGAATGATGAAGGAGTATCAAGAAGTCTGAGGGGAAGTGATTGAAGGTGGAAATCAGGCAACTGAGACTCTAAGGATGTGGTGGGGCTCATTAAAATTTTATTTTATTTATCTCTGATAGTGGTAATGGTATATTTTCTGACTATAACAAAAGCCAATGTATAATATATGTTCTTCGCCTAAATTTTCCCCACATGTATCTGGATTGTCCCTTAAGGAATATTTTTGGTCTAGGGAGATTTTATTGTGAGTTTTATTTATGCCACAAGTAAATTGTGAATCCCAATGGTGTTCACATTGTAAAATGATATTAGTAGTTGGGATACTGAAATCCCATTTTTACTCCTTTAATAATGTCCTAATTATAGATTTCTTTTCCTCTAATTTCAGCCTTTATATTAATAATAAAACTAATCTGCAATCTCTCTCAAATAACTTTTATGCTAAAAGCAATTAGGTGGATATCGTCTTGGCTCCTTAGAGAGGAAGTAGATTTAGATACGCAGAAAAAGCTTTGTCATTAAGGGCCCAGGTAACTATAGTCCTCTAATGGTTAATGGTATGAGGAATTGAGCTCAAATAGTAGCATGTAGTTCAAAGTAAAAACATTTGACCTAAAATTCCAGGGTGCACTCAGTAATTGGTGAATGTGCCAAGAGGTTATAAAAGCAAAGCCTTAGAGTCTTTAGAGAACAGAGAGCAAGTTCACTCAGAGAAAAAGAAAGAAGAGGAAACAAAAAGAAAGAATACAACAGAAAAGAAGCAAAAGGGAGTATTAAAGGGTTTGCTAAAGAAGGTTTTGTTATTATCTCCTCCTTGATTATAATGCTAACTACATGCATTACTAGTTATATAAATACTAAATATGTGCATACATAATGAAATGAACTTTTTTTCTTTGTTCTTCGAAATACATTCTCAAATGTATTGTCTAAAATTAAACTGGTGATTTTAAGGCCACTATGATTACATACAGGGAATTTAAAAAGATTTAGGCACTATTAAAAGTTTTAATATCTTATTTGTTGTCTTTTGTATCTTATGCTATATTTTCATTAATTTTCCAAAAATTATGCAGGAAACGTTTGACTTGAAAAAAGTAGGTGTTATTGTAAATGGACACTATATTCTATGGATAAAACACTTCTTCCCCTTATCAGCATATATAGTGATAGACAAATTCTGTCTATCATCTTAGATGAAACAGTTTAATTTATTTGGACTTTCCAGCACTCCTCACTATATGTGTTCTGCATATAAAAAGAGAATTATCTTGCTTTGCCTTATTTTTTTTAGTGATTCTTTAGAATATATTCTTCGTAGAAGCCTTACAAAGTTGTCAAACACTATTGATCTTCAATTAGCACATGCATAAAAATGCAAGTTGTTATAACTTCTACCTTATGCTTCACTCAAAGTGAAGGAGAAATACATTAGGCTTTATATGAATCAAATAGATAATCTTCATTTTACAAATGATTTGCATATAGAATGAGTGTTATTATAGGACGTTCTTAGTGTAATCAAGATCAGCTTTGTGTTTCCTATTTTAAGTCATGTACCAAATCTTTTTCTCCACCATTAAGTCTGTAGCATAGATTTTGCTTGATGGCATATTTTATTATTTCAAATCTTATCTATATGCTATATAGGACAAATTTTCTTATTTTTTTACAAAATCTCATTTGAGTGTGATAGTTTGTTTTTCTAAAGTAACCTCAAACCTTTTTGTCTAAATAGAGGGGTATAAATATAGATTAATAAAAATATGTACTTAAGCTAAAATCTCTATTGTGTTCAAAAGAAAAGTGGTCTTAAAAATGTAACTCTGATTTGGTCTCCCATAAGGTTTATCACCTACTTATAATTTTGTGTTAGTAACATTTTAAACATTTGAAAATTTTATTGATAATCATGCTCATCTATCAATTGAAATTTCAATATCAACAATCATTCCTTGAAGCAAAGGAATTTGAACATTTTTGCTCACTTTTGATTTTATTCACTTTTGATTTCATCCTGATGGTCATTCTACCATTTTATCCAAAGTAAAAATATGCTAAAAATAGTCTCATTTTAACCTATATGACTCTGGCTCTGAAATTTCACTTGGGTCTGTGCTTTTATAATGGTAGGTGAGGGAGTTAAGAAATCAAGTAGATAAATTATTTCAAATTGAATGATGCATAACATAGTTAAACCATCTATTATTCCTATGTTTTTGTGTCTTTCACTGTGATTTTATTACTTTTAAGATAAATGATTTTGAACATAGTTGATGTGCAGATATACTTAAGATTTAACCACCAGCATTTACTCTATAACTAAAATTGAATGGTTTAAAAAAGTTTGCTGAGTGCCTTTCTATACCTGCGTGTGATTTCCAAATATCTGAAAAGAAATAGTTTCTGTTTTGCTTTTGGATTTTTTCCATGGTTCTCTGATGTATATAGTTTATTTTCCCTCAAAATAATAAACAAATATAATTTTAGAAGATGCCTACAATGCATTTATATAGCCAAGGAAAAATGGAACAAGATAGATGAATGCTCTGTGGTGCTCATGCCACGTGGGTGTGGCAATGTTTAGAAGCTCTTTAAGCCTGAGATCAGATATTTGTCCTTAGCAGCATTGAATCCAGGACTCAGGGTGGGTCCTTGGCATCTTTAATTTTTAAAACTATAAGTGAATATGATGGAATGTAGGACTGAAAACATCTAACTCATGCATTTAGTCTCCTAAAAGGGATATACAAATTCACATAATTTTTTACTAGCAGACTTAACATTGGGCCGCTGAATATTCTTTCACTAATATATTATTTCTGTTTTCAAAAGCTGAAAGTGTTCTATTTCTGGACAAATTTTAAAACTCAGAAACTTGGGACCACTTTTTTTCCCTGGTTCTACCACCAGTTCTACCATTCTTAACGTTTTTATTAAACTGTTCTGTGCTCTAAAAGTGATGTATGTGCAGACCATCTCCAGAAATGAGAAAATTATTTGTTTTATAGAATACAAAAATAAATTACTGAGTTGCCATGGCAATATTATTTAGTTATCTTACTTATTATTTGTGTACAAGGGAAGATGTGTATATGGGTATTTATTTGCAAATAGTATTTTATGTGTTATTTTATAAGAAATATTATTAACACATTTTATTTCACTTACTCAACAAATTTTAAACCTCTAACAGTCCTGTCAATGCTCTCAAATATCAACATTATTTAATGATCAACTCACAAATTCATGTCTGGATTTCAGATCTTGGTAATCCCAGGTAAAGCAGTGATTAAGAATCAGTTATGAGATATGCAAATAGTTTCTAGATTTATTTGCTTCCTATAAATTTACTGCTTACTCAGCACTTTGAGATTGTTTCATAATAACTCCCTCTGGCAATGAAGGGGATTTCTTCATTTATTCTCTAATTTCACTTATCCACTAACTTTTTGTTCACTCAGTATTTATAGAGCATTTATTCTGTACCAGATGAAATCCCTGGAAGCTGGGAATATAAAAATAAGCAAAATTATTGCTCATACTGATCTTCATTACACCTAAGAGCTATTGTTCAAGACAGACATTAATGTCATGCAAATGAATGTAGAATTCAATCTGTGCTAAAGGCAATAACTCAGGGATCTAACCTACTCTGTGGCAGGAGTTGGGGTGCAGGAAGGCCCAGGGGGGAGGTAAGACTTCTCTGAGAAGATGGCATTTAGGAAGGATTCAATATGCAGCACCTCCATAAAACCTTCTATATCAAGAGAGAAGAGTAAATGAAAAAGGTCTGGTGCTTTCAGGTATCTGAAAGAGAGGGAAAGTGAGATTCTTAAATGTGTTTAAAACTATCTTTGATGTGTGAGTCTGAAATGACTTTTACTTCTTTATAGGTAATATATTGAATTTATAAGAGTTCATTTTTATGAAGATCATCAAAATTCAGACTGACCTCGTAATTATTTCTATAAGTAGCCAGATGTGATGGTGCACACCTGTAAACCCAGTAACTCAGGAAGCTGAGGCAGGAGGATCCAAGTTCAAAGCCAGCCTCAGCAACTTAGAGAGGCCTTAAGCAATTGCCTCAAAACAAAAAAATAAAAGTGCAGGGCACGTGGCTCAGTGGTAAAGTATCCCTGGGTTCAATCCCTGGTACCAAAAAAAAAAAAAATTCAGTATGTATTCTTCCAAACTTAATTATTAACTGGTATACAGCAGTGAAACAGGCAGGTGCTAGAACCAAAAAGAAGCAACAAGACCAACTTGAAGAATGTTTTGAGATGACAAAACCTGGGAGCATCTGTACTAGGTACTCTGGTTAGGAGGAGAAAAAAATATATTCTTAGTCATACTTTTGGAGACCAATGTTTATTCCTTTGTGTTAAAAAATTATAAAGAAATTCTCCTATTTCTGTTCTTCCTGCCCAAAGACCTAAGAACCTCTTTACTTTGGTAAGTCAGGACCTTCCCCTTCCTTGGAATATGAAGATTAGAATATCCAAATTTAGAATGCTTAAGTATTTGGTCAATGAAGGGGAAATTCTTCTAAAACCCTCTTGTAGAGCCTGGGCTCCTTTTCTTTTGAGAGTGACACTATTTTTCTTATAGGTTACAACTAAATTTCAGGGGTTGACAAAGTGCCAGTCATAAAAGCAAATGGATATCCTCAGTCTCAGTTGTCTTCTTTTATGGTATGTTTTCTCAGATGGACTGAATTCACCATAATCGCCATTGCCGGGGCCACAAACATCCCTCTTCATTATTCTCACTGCACTGTGATATTGCTGTCCCCAGTTGGAAAGCAGTTGTAGGTTCCTTTTGTGCTGGATTCTCCATGCTTCCATATTCTGTTTGTCTCAGGGGAGAGGAGAGAGGCAAGACAAAGGGTATATATGTCTGAAACACACTTCATGCTTATCCTGCTCTCTGTTCCAATTCTTTCTTTTTCTTTCAATTCCAGAGAACCCTGCCTACTTATCAACTGAGAAAATATTAAAATTATAACTTGGTTTTCAAAAATTCTATTGTCTCAGGAGCTCAGCTTTCAGAAAGGTAAAGAATTTGCTTTTCTATTCTCTTTGTTCATTTGCTTTTTTTTTCCTCCTGAAAACAAAACAAAACAAAAAAAACAAACAAACGAAAAACCACTTGCTTGAAGATATTAAAGTCTTCCCACTCTAGTAAATCTCCCAGTGAGTGAACAGTTTAAGGGAAATCTGAGAATGTAAATTTATCCTATACTGAATATTTTGGTTTTCCTGACATAGAAATAATTGCAGATCTCTTCATATTCTGCTTAAAGTCCCCAAACACTCACATGAGATCTATAGTGTCTGATGTAGGCAGCTTTCTGGAGCATTGTGATTAAAAATATGGGCTTCAGTCAGAATGGTTTGGTTTGAATTTGTTACTTACTTATTACAAAAGGTTGGACACATTATTTAACATTGTCCTGTGTCTGCTTCCTCACTATAATTTAGAGGTAATAATAAAGCCATCTTCAGAAGCTTCATTTGGAAATAAACATACAGCCTTCTTCCTGGCATATGTTAGGTACTTAATAAATGCTAGCTAGTATATTATTCAGCGTTCTGTTACTATAACAGATACCTGAAATAAACAACTTATAAAGGTAAAAGGGTTATTTGGTATCAAAGTTTTGGAGGTTTTAGTCTATAATTGGCTACTTCTGTCACACTGAGCCTGTGTCAAGGCATCCCATCATGGTGAAAGCACATGGTAGAACAAAATCACTCATCTCATGGCCAGAAAGCAAAAGAAAAATTAAAAGGAAAAGAGACTGGGGTCTCATAGTCCCCTTTGGGATGATCCTTCAGTGACCCGAAGACCACTCACTTCATCATCCCCTTAAAGTTTTCACCATCTCCAATGAGTGTCAAACTGAGAACAAGCCTTTATGGACCTTAGGGGAATTCTGAGCTAATCTGATAAAATAATCTGAATAAAAAATTAGCAAAAGACCTAAACAGACATTTATTCAAAGAAGAAAAGGTATACAACACAGAAAGGTGCTAAACATCACTAATCATCAAGGAAATGGAAATCAAAACCATTGTGAGATACCAATTCACACCTGTTAAGATAGCTATTATCAAAAAGCTAAAAGATAACAAATGTTGGAGAGAGTATGGAGAAAAGGGAACTCTTGTATACTTTTGGTGGGGATGTAGACTGGGTGTAGCCATTATAGAAAACAGTATGGGAGTTTCTAAAAAAATTAAAATCCAACTGTGATGTGACCTAGCAATCCTTTCTGGGCAAATCCCCCACAAAATGAAATCACCCCCTTATAAAGATACACGCACTTCCATGTTTAACACAGGGCTATTCACAGTAGACAAGCTAGGAAAACAACGTAACTCCATTGACAAGGAAAGCAATGGATAAAGAAGTAGATTGAATTCAGGGATGCTTTACCACTGACCTGCATTCCTAGTCCTTTTCAGTCCTTTTTTATTTTTGTAAATTTTGAGTCAAGGTCTCAATAGTTTGCTGAGGCCTGCCTCAAACTTGTTATCCTCTTGCTTCAATTTCCCGTCTCTGATATTACAGTTGTGAGCCACTATGCCCTCTAAAAAGGTCATTTTCTAAGACAAAATCAAAATAGACCATTTCACCCCCAATATCCAATATGGAAACTACAAAATGTGTTCATAGGAAAAGACCAAATGTTAAATACAACTTTACCACAATAGAATGTACCATCATTTGTCTTGGTTATTCCAATAGCTTCACAGCTATGAGTCTGTCTTTTTACTTCAGAGCCTGTAGTCCATTCTCTACACTACCTCCAGTTTCTTCTTTATATAAAGCAAAACTAATAATGACTTGGATCCGTTGTTCCTGAGCTTGATGTGGTTCTGAATTTATGTAGAATAATTTGGGGAACTCTGGACTTCATCCTCTAGGATTATATTTAGATTATGAGCTTGTCCCACTAATCTGCATTTTGATGAAATATGTTGGGTTTCCTCTATTGCTTCTATTCCAAAAGTTATATATTAAGAAAACTTTGACTACCACAGAATGATGTTCAAATATATTTACATATTTCCAAACAAAATATTCATCAAAGTCCTTTCTGCAGTTTTTGTTTTATTTTATATTGTTTTGTTTGAAATGATTGATCCTTAAGTACTCTGTGCCTCAGCTCTAGGTATTATCTTCCCATGCTCTCTTTCCTCTGTGCCTTTGAGGACATTTACTTTTTTCCTTTGCTTTGACTATTTCCTACTCTCCCACTACTGTATGAGATGTTTCCTCCAAGTCACGCAGCCACATTACATTCTTAATCCTTTGCCACTCTAACTTCCTCTTCATAGTCTTGCTGTTGTTGTTATTAGATATGATACATTTTTCTTTTTATTGACATATAATAATTATACATATTTGTGGGAAACAATGTGATAATACACATATACATATATAATGATCAAATCAGGATGAAAGAGTTTTCACCTTGCCTTTTAATTACCCATCTCTCCCTTCCTCACCACTCCCTCTTTGCTTTGACTATGGTCTCCCTAAAGTAAGTAAATAGGTGTTGGTCACTACTTTGATCCAACATGTTCTTCTCCACCTAGAATAGAGTAAAATGCATTATTGCTAAATCAATTACTCTCTTCAAATCTGTGTCTCAGATTCATCATATGTAAAATAGATAGGATATGTATATACATATTTAAATAGTCTTTCTTATACTTCTTTTGTTTTCTAAGCATCTTTTTCTTTCCAAAGCTAATGGTGAACTAAAAAGATAATCAAGGTGAGATGGTCATTTATTGGTTGGGTGAGCTTTATCTTGTAATAAAGTTTCTGTCACTTCCAAGGAATTCCATATGCTTCTTGGCTGCATCCTAACATAAACTATGAAATACTGGTTCATTTCAGATATAGAGATTAGATAATTTATATTCTTTTGTCTTTTGTAGAGTAGGACTGATTAGACATGACTCATTATTAAACAAAATCTTAAATACAGAATTCATGTAAGTGGATTTAGTCAACTTCCATCCAATTTGATTTTCTCTCTTCCCTTGACCCTTCATCAGTGTCTTGCCTGTTGTTTCCATAAATTAAATTAGAAATTTAATGGTAATATCTCTATTAATTTCTATCCTTTATTTTTTTTTGTTCATATTTCTCAGATAACACAGGCGCACACTGAGATGCACACAACATGTTATGCAAATGAAGGAACTCATACAAAAATATATATAAATAGGGAAAATAACTTTTCTATGATCACAATATCTACACTAAGGTTCCTAATTTATCCAGACAACTTGATATTAAATATGAAATAAATTAAATGTTAGTCATGCTGATTAATATATTATGATTTATAATTTATGAATCACCTTTAAGGTAGGTCAAAAAATCCTGATGGTAAACTAATGATAAACTAAAATTAATTATGAGACTAAAATTAATTATGAGACTAAACTAAATTAATTATGAAAAGAAAATTGCATATTGTTCAGTTTTTGTTCTTTCTATGCCTACTCTTGGATTTATGTTCACATGAAAGATTTATAGTTTAGGTTTTTGGGTTTTTTTTTTTCATTTGTTTTAAGGTAATTTATGGCCACTTTTCCTTATCCAATGAAAACCAAGCAAAGCGAAACAAAACCCAAACCCCCTTTGATAGGAAAAAGCAGAGTGCCTGAGTGAGAGGTGTAAAGAAGGGGCAAGAAGAAGCATATGCTATGGTTTAATGCTCAGGGCTTACAAAAGCAAGGTGTTGGAATGGTAATTGGATTTCTGAGCATTGCTTTTGAGAATAGACTGCTTAAATCATTGAAAAGGAAATCATTGCAGGAAAGAATTGCACCGGCTGTTTGAGTACTTACAAAATAAGAAAAACATAAGTAACAATGAAGAGCTGGTTTTGTGTTGTTGAGATTTGACATCTTTAAAAACCTGATATTGTAGCTATAGTTTTGATCTTTATTCCTTTGTTGAATAAAGTCCCAATGCATTTTGGGCCATACTTTCAATGAGGGCTGAAATAAATGAGACCTTTAAAATGCTTTTAGAGAAAGAAAAATAAAGAAAATTTCTCCCAAGTCTACATTATACTTTTATATGAAAGACAGATATGGACAAGGATACATCTTTATTCTTGGTTTGTTTCACATGTTTACTGCTCAGGCAGTTAAACTGCTTTTCTTAAAATGTTAGAAAATCCCTATACCCATGAACTTTCATGTAAATAGACCGACTGATACTCAGTAAGCATCCAAAATTATTTTGATATTCCATAGGAGGTCTGGGATTGAGACAGGGGAGGATGTCTCTAGGTGTTAGCCTCTTAAAATATGAATATAAATTTCCCATCAGCAATTTTTAGCAAAATATTTTACTTTCTAAACAAACAGAGTCCAAGGCATGTCTCCTGGCCACCTTTTCAACAATATCTATTTATTATCCCGGTTTATCATGAACATGGGCAAAACTTTTATTCTCAGATAACTGGTATCTATTGTTCCTTCCTCAAATTTTAGCTTTCTACAATAAAAGAAGCAGAAGGAAACAATGAAAGACAGGAAACAGATTCCTGGGAGACTTTGTAAACATATTGTTCCATTTTCCTTGGAGATATCCAACACAGATATTTACCTGTCCTTGCTAAATTTGCCACAGAAGGAATTTTTGTTGAGTATCTATTCTGTGCCAGGCAATTTGCTAGTTATCTTAATCATATATATAATACACTTCTCAAAATAACCTTTCCTTCCCTTTACAGTGAGAAATGGAAAACCCAGATAGTGATTAAAATTCCTTGGGGTTACCAGAGCTAGTATTTCTATCCAGTTCTGTAAAAACATTTCTTTTTATAATGCAGTCATTTATTTTAAACATTAGTCATATTTGAAGACAATTTAAAAACTGTATAATTGTCTTTGGGGAATATTCATTTCATCTGGAGTTTCTTTTTTTTCTGTATACTGTTGTTAGGTTTAAAAGTAAATGTACTCCTCTCTTTGTTCACAGAGAGGACAGGAAGTCACTTTGATACAAGGGTTGGA